AAGGGTAAAGCCCTCTCTCACATGGACCTCTAAGAAGCGTTTTCTTCGTGGCTTGTTCCTTAATAAGAAAATGATCGGGGTGAAACTCAAGAAAGGCATGATTATCACGTGCAAGACGATTAACAGAGAGCAAATTCTTGCTAGAATGAGGAACATGAAGAATGTTGTTTAGATGTAGATTATGCATGGGGGTTTGCAGAACACTATGACCAACATGATTAATTGTCATACCTGAACCACTGGCGGTATGAACCTGATCAGTGCCCTGATATCGATCCCGCAATGTGAGCTTCTCGAGTTCACCGGTGATGTGGTCCGTGGTGCCTGAATCCACATACCAATTTGTGTCTATGCCATAGGACGTAGTGGTTGCGAGGAGGCACTCTTTTTGGAGGGTCGTGAACCAAGGCATTTATAATACGTGCGCTGATGTCCCTCGATGCCGCAGATCCGCGAAGAGCGCCATGCATGAAGTTGCGCCCCTTCGCCGCCACCGCGACCGCGAGCACGGCGGCACGCCGCCCGCGGCGAGCGCCATTGCGCCCACCACCGCCGCCACGACCACCGCGGTGGTTGTTGTTGAGTAGCCACCACCGCCCGGCCGCCCTTTGCGGCAAGGTTGGCGAAGAGTGAGAGCCGCCATCGCGGATCTCACGGTCTATTCATGGCTTTTATTTAGAGGTCTGGAGGAGATCGGTTCGCACGATTGGAGACGCGCCCACAACCGAATCAAACTCCTCCCCAAGGCCCATAAGGATGTATGAGCGACTTCATCGTCGTCCGACTTTTGCCCGCCGAGCGCCATCTCGTCGGCAAGACCCTTCATCTTGGTAAAATACTCCGCCACCATGGACGAGCCTTTGGTCGTGGTGGCGAGAGCCATTCGTGGACATGATCCGAAGCGCATGCGACGCTGCAAGAAGGTTCGGATTAGATTTCGGTGGTCGAGGTAGCCACACGGGAGAAGACATCCTTTAGCTGAGACTTGATGTTTAGCGAAACACTCCTCGTGTTCGGATTTGGTTCCGGGTCCGTCTTCTTCTTGGCGTAGGGTCGTGGCGAGGAATTCGGTGGAGGCTTGGAGTGGGCTTGGTGAAGCTCCTGACCGCGCACCTTGAAGGGTCGCGATAAACTGGGCAAGCCACATAGTGTAGTTGCCGTGGGTGAGCTTCTCGTCACGGGAGGAAGAAGACCGAAGGAGAAGCTTATTATGGCATCGGAGGAGGTCGCCATGGATCGATCTATCCGTGAGGAATTTTGTGCTTTGATACCATGTAAAAGCTAGGAGGAACGATATCACCTTCCTTAATTTTATTTTTATATGGCGAGAGAATAGCCCTCTGCATGGCGTTTACACAAGAGGTTGTTACAACAAACTCGAGTCATAGTTATCCTATTCTATGGTTTTACAATTTTAGCGGTGGTCACAGTACAAAGTACTGAACTAATCCTATCATCTAACACTTTCGCCTTGGCAGCAGCGGCGGGAGGAGGGACGAAGATTATTACACGGTGGTGGGTGCTCAAATCGCCCGTGAAGGCTCTGGCGACGGGCGGAGACCTCGCAGAGGTGGCGGGCGCCCATCATTTTGGGCGAGAGGAGAGAGAGGCGGATTTTTTCACGCAGGTGAGAGAAGAGAAGAGAAGGCAGGAGAGGGGAGGAAATTTCAAGTATTCTAGTTCCCGTTTCAAAAAAATTGTGCCTAGTTTAAATATATGAGGGCCCGTGTGTTTCATCAAGTAATTAAACCACAAAACATTGGGATCAGTGGCGGAGATAAAAATAAACTCGGAGTTTTTTTCCTTAACCTTGTTTAGTTCCCCGTCCGATTTTACTGCTCGTGGCACTGGCAGCCATAGAAAAGGTAGCTGTTGTTTTGTTCCTGCGTGAGCTGCTAGACAGCCACAAAACTTTTCAGTTCATTCCTTTAATAATTTATGCTATAAAGGCAACGTTCAGCTTACCCAAAAACCGATTTGTTCGACTTGTTTTTTGAGTCAGAACAGTGTTTTTCTCTCACAATAATTCAGCCAGAAACAGTGTTTTTCAGCCAGTTTCAGCCAAGTTTCAGCAAGCCGAACGAGAAGTGCCTTCTTCTCCGCCACAAACTTTGGCAGCGCCACAACCTGGCATGGCCATCAATGGCGGGGAACCAAACAACCCTTATATTTATTTACAATTTGATTGATTTCAAAATTTACGATCCAAATTATCGGACCAGCTGATACCCTAAGATGTGCACTTGAGCATCTCGAGGTTGCAACACAGCCTCGTCAAGAGTACACACCACAATACCCTAAATCCCAACGAGAAGGAATGATTAAGAGCAGAATCTTCAAATCAATGGTGGGCGTGAGACGATGAACCGTATTCGGTGAACATTGAATCTTCAAATCAAGCTGGCCACAGCAGGCAACGTCCCCAACCAACTGATAAAAATTTGTTGCGCGGTTTGTGTGCCGCACATCTCTGGGGCTCGTTCGTTTAGGGTGGTTCTAGGCAGGAATAGATCCTGGTTGAGAGGAGTGTATATAAATTAGATAAATGTTTCTGGTCGGAACAGTTCCTGACCTCAGAACCCCAGGACCCGAACAGGCCCTTGGTGTGCTTGCGCCATGGCACGTAGTACTCGGAATTCTTCCCATCCGAACCCTCGGACGGGAACCTTCCGCCGATGATTTTCCCGTGCGATGGCTGTGCGGACAGAGCCGTCGCAGACCACATGAACCGCGATTGTTTTGATTTCCCAGCGTTGGTTGGTAAGTACGTATGTTTTCTTTTCTTTTCTTTTTTATTTTATTTTTATTTTTTTTCTTTTCGTGCTCTGTTTTTTATTTATATTTATTTTTTTGTTTTATGTGATTTTTATTTTTCTTCTCATTTTTCATTTTTATGTTTCTTTTTTTCTTTTCTTTCGTTTTCTTTCCTTTTCTTATTATTTTATGTCATTTTTTCTTTTTGTGCTTCATTTAATTTTTATTTTTAAATTTCTTTTTTGTTTTATTTGTTTTTATTATTATTTTCATTTTTATATTTTTATCTTTATTTCCTTTCCTTTCCTTTTCTTATTAGTTTTTCTTTCCATATTTTTGTTTTTATTTTTTCTCGTTTCATGTTATTTTTCTATTATTCTTTCCATTTTTATATTTTTCATTTATTTTTTTATTTTTTGATTTTTTACTTTAATTAATTATTTTTTTTATTTTATTTTATTTTTTTATTATTTTTTCTTTATTTTTCCTAATATATGTTTTTAGTGTAGTGTGATGTTCTGTAATGTTCACGTAATATACATGTGATGTTCTATGATGTATTTTATAATGTTCACATAATAGAAATGTGTTGTTCACGTAATATGTGTTTTATGATGTATTTTGTGATGTCCGCATAATATACATGTGATGTTATGTGTTACTACCTCCGTCCATAAGTCTTCATCGTATTAGCCTTCGGCGCAATGACCAAGGAGCGGTAAACAACGTTGATTTGCATTTAAGGCGAGTCGCAGCTAAGGAGCACCAAATGCGCAACACGTACGAGAAGACAAACCAGTGGTCCCAGACTAATACAAAGGAGACTTTTGAAAAAAAATTGCTTAGATGAAGGAGATAAATGACGGAGGGAGTATATTTTGTGATGTTCACATATGATATATGTGATGTTCTATGATATTTTTGTGATGGTTATTTGGTTTACATGTGATGTTTTATGATGAATTTAGTGATGTTTATGTAATATATATGCGATGTTCTTTAATGTATCTAGTGATATTCTATGGTGTATTTTGTGATCTTCACTCATGATACATGTGATGTTCTATAGTCTATTCTAGGATGTTTGAAAAGTATCAATTTGATGTTCTTTAAAATTTTCTCTATTATATGTTTTTATTTTTTTCTTGTGCTTTGCTCTAGATTTTATTATTTTATTTATGTTATGTATTTATTATTTATTTTTATATATATTATAATACCATTTTATGAACCTAAAACTAGAATATTGTAGACCGAAAACTTTTTTTTACGAAGACGGAATATCGTTCTCTAAACCTAGAAAATCGTCTCTGCTCGATAAAAGAAAATATTCTATCTTCATAAGATAAAGAGTTAAATACACTGACAGCCCTTGAACTTATAGCGTTATGCCACTTAAATTCACGAACTCTCAAACACGAAATTCGACCCCCCGAACTTGTTAAGTGGTGCACCACAGGTCCATACCCTTAATTTTTCTATTTGATTAGATGGATGAGATTGTATGGGATGAGAATACTTGACTAATTATATCTATTATTTTAAAGGAGTAACAACTAATTATACCCTAATAAATATGCACCGACACTAATCTTGTCATTATAATCACTAATTTAAAATAAAATATATTAATTAGCACTATACTACTTTAATTGTTACACAAAACATACGCTAATCAACACATGGATATCCTCGTTCACTAGATTTTTGAGAGCCAGGATATCCAACATCTATCTAGATTATTCCCTACCGTGGATATCTAGATTTACCTTATCCATCGAGGCCACGTTTAGCTCGGCCGGCGCCTGGCCGGCGTCCATCCACGCCGTAGCAGCGTGCGCCGCGCAGCCGAGGGCCCGACTCGACTCCCAGTGCTGCTCTGCTCGCCCGCGCTCGGCTGGAACTGGAAGAACGTGTGCTCACTCACTGTAGCTACAGCGGATTGCCAGGTGTAGCTGCATGATGACACACAGGGAGCCCTGCCCGGCGTCGCTGTTGTCACTTGCCACAGCTCACATTCTCTCCCGTGGCCTGCGACACGCTGGGCCCGTGGCATCGATCCATGGCTTTCCGCCCCACGGCTGCGCTGGCAAGCAGAGTACTACTGTGGCCCATTGGTTAGAGACCAGAGCCACCGCTTGCGCTTGGCAGGGGGCGTTCGATCGGCTGCTCCCTTGCATCGCAGCGCAGCAGCGCTGCTTGCATCCGGCGTGCCACTCCCACTCTCCTCTCCCCCACCCATCCAAATGGGCCGCCGCGCGGCCGCGCTCCCCGCGCTGCTGCTGGCGCTGTCCCTCACCCTCTCCCTGGCCGCCGCGGACCCGCCGGAGCGGGAGCGGTCGGCGCTGCAGGCGTTCCTATCCGGAACACCACACGAGCGTCCACCGCAGTGGAACACCTCCCTCCCCACGTGCTCCTGGACAGGAGTCCGCTGCGACTCCGCCGCCAACAACGCCACCGTCACGGAGCTGCACCTCCCGGGCGTGGGCCTCGTCGGCCGCGTCCCCAACGGCACCCTCTCCCAGCTCCAGAACCTACAGGTCCTGTCGCTGCGCGACAACCGCCTCGCGGGCCCCGTCCCGCCCGACGTGCTCGCGCTCCCGCGCCTCCGCGCGCTCTACCTCCAGGGCAACCTGCTGTCGGGCGCCGTCCCGCCGGGGCTCGCCGCGGGGATGCTGCCCGCGCTCGAGCACCTCGCGCTCTCGCGCAACCAACTCTCGGGACCCGTTCCGGACAAGCTGCTCGTGGGGATGCCCCGGCTACGATCGCTCATGCTCGACGGGAACCGACTCTCCGGTGGCCTGCCTGCTGGGGGCGTCGGCGCCAGGCTGGAGGTGTTTAATGTCTCGTTCAACGATCTCGACGGACCCATCCCCGCCTCCCTCGCACGGTTCCCGCCGGAGTCGTTCGCCGGCAACCCCGGCCTCTGCGGCGCGCCGCTCGTCGACCGCCCGTGCCCCTCGCCGTCCCCGCCGCCCGCGCCTGGGGAGGATAATAACAGCAGTAGCAAGACGAAGAAACGGAAGCTTTCCGGCGCGGCGGTCGTGGCCATCGCGGTGGGGTGCGGCGCGGCGGCGCTGCTGGCGCTCCTCCTCCTGGCCCTGTGCGCGGCGCACCGGCACCGTCGACACTCGGAGGCGGCGTCGGCGGACGCGAAGGCGACCCCGCCCACGCGCGGGCTGACCCCATCAACGCCGTCGGGGGACCTGACCGGCGGCGACTTCACGTCCTCCTCCAAGGACATCAGCGCGGCGGCGGCGGCGGCGGGCGGCGCGGACCGTGGGCGGCTGGTGTTCGTGGGGAAGCAGGGTCCGGGCCACCTCCGGTACAGCTTCGACCTGGAGGACCTGCTGCGCGCGTCGGCGGAGGTGCTGGGCAAGGGCGGCCTGGGCACGTCGTACAAGGCGGTGCTGGAGGAGGGGACCACCGTGGTGGTCAAGCGCCTGCGTGACGTGGCGGCGTCGCGGCGCGAGTTCGCGGCCTGCGTCGAGGCCGCGGCCGCCGCGGCGGGCGAGCACCGGAACCTGGTGCCGCTGCGTGGGTACTACTACTCCAAGGACGAGAAGCTGCTCGTCCTCGATTACCTCCCCGGTGGCAGCCTCTCCGCCCGCCTCCACGGTGAGCCATCCATCTCAGCAACCTAGCTCCAGCCATGCATGATTCCTTGATTGCACTGCCAGTCAGCCGCAATGGCAGGCAGGCAAGGCATTGCTCTGGGCGAGCAGGAGTGCTTGCTGCTGCTGTTACGTGGTAGGTAGGAGTAGCTGCTGGCTTGGGACGATGAATGGGGTATTTCCGCCATACGAATTTTAGTTTGCTCCATCTGCACGCAACGCGCAGTGCACAGGTACGGTTGTAGTACAGTTTTTCCGATCCTCCTTCCGATCCAGGCACGTCATTACGTACTTCCGACATGCCCCAGCCTGTATGTACTACGTCTACTACTGTACAGTATGCTAGCAGCTACTAGCTCTCGGCTCCTACTTACCTACAGCACCATGGAGTGTAGTTGTATATCACTGTAACACCAAGGATATATATGGCCTTCCACTTCCAACTTCCAAGCAATAATACTGGCCTCAACAACTCTGAGGATTACCCCACAAGGTTCAGGTTGGAACAGGAATACTGGCCTTCACTTCACCATCTATCCATGTCTAGTAGTGCATTGCATCAAGGGTTTAAATGCTCATATCTAGAGAACTGTCGGCTCGGTTCGACTTCTCAACAAGTCGCTTATGCTAATTTGTATGCTAATTTATATGACTAATTGGTTAAGAGAGAAAAATACTGTACCATCGTGGATAAACCGGCTTATGTAATGGCAGCCGAAGAGAGCCATTATAAGCCGGCTTATACGTCGGATGCGCTGTCACGTCATACGTGTGCTATGCTAGTTAATAAGGTCTTGTTTAGATTGCAAATTTTTGCAATCTAGACACTGTAGCACGTTTTGTTTGTATTTGACAAACTTTGTCCGATCATGGACTAACTAGGCTTAAAAGATTCGTCTCGTGATTTACAACCAAGCTGTGTAATTAGTTATTTTTTTTACCTACATTTAATACTCCATGCAATCGTCTAAAAATTGATGTAATGGAGAGAGAAAAAACTTGGAATTTTAAGGCAATCTAAACAAGGTTTAAGTGCTAATGCCTTCCAATCATCCAGCCGGTATGTTTTTTCCCCTGTGTTTGCTGGTCTATCATTCTGCATTATTCGAGGTGATTCATAGAGTTGGTAGCACCAGCGATCACAGCAGCAGTGTGCTATCGCTGCTTCCTGGTGCATTTGTCGTTTCTGTTATCTTTTTCTGCTCTGCCAACTACCGCAGCTGCTTTGTTCTCTTGCTTGACCATTTCGCTCCCCGAATGCATTTCAAAAGGAGTAGGGTAGCGTACTGTGCGTGCATCACTGGTGATGACTGCATGGACAGTGACTACTAGCTCATGTAAAATACTAGTAGACTCTATCCAGTCACAGGATTTTCTTTTATTCAACATGTTCATGCTTCATGGTTTGTCTTACCTTATTCATCAGAACTGTTATCTATCACTCCTATAAACTATTTAACCATTCATGATTCACCTCGATTAGGCCATGTTTAGTTTCCAAAATTTTTTTGCCTCCTACAGTAAAAGAACATGTTTGGACACATGTATGGAGTACTAAATGTAGATAAAAAAAAACTAATTGTACAGTTCTCGGCAAAATCGCGAGACGAATCTTTTAAGCCTAATTAGTTCATAAAAAGCCTTAAGTGATACAGTACCCTACATGTGCTAATGACCGATTAATTAGTATCATTAGATTCGTCTCACAGTTTTCTGATGGGTTCTGTAATTTATTTTTTTATTAGTATCAAAAATCCCTCCCGACATCCTTCCGACACATCTGATGTGACACCTAAAAATTTTCGCCTCCCCCAACTAAACACACCCTCAGTAACAGGAACAAAGTCTGAATTGTTGCTGCATGATTAGTACACCGCTTATGGATCGGAGTCTGAATTTTTGTTGCATGGTAGTTAGTATACCATTTATTTATCGGCGCGTCGGAGATGCTAATTAATAACACGCCGCGATTTTGGACCGCAGGGAGCCGCGGCACCGGGCGGACGCCCATGGACTGGGAGGCGCGGACGCGTGCCGCGCTGTGCGCCGCGCGGGGCGTGGCGCACCTGCACGCGGCGCACGGCCTGGCGCACGGCGACATCAAGTCGTCCAACCTGCTGCTGCGCCCGGACCCCGACGCGGCCGCGCTGTCCGACTACTGCCTGCACCAGCTGTTCCCGCCGGCGCCCGCGCGCCCCGGCAGCGGGGCCGGGGCCGGCGGGGGCGGGTACCGCGCGCCGGAGCTGGCGGACGTGCGCCGCCCGACGTTGGCGTCCGACGTGTACGCGCTCGGCGTGCTGCTCCTGGAGCTCCTGACGGGCAGGTCCCACGCGCACCACGCGGCGTCCGGGTCCCTGGACGGCTCCGGCAGCGGAGCACTGGACCTCCCGCGGTGGGTGCAGTCGGTGGTGCGCGAGGAGTGGACGGCCGAGGTGTTCGACGCGGAGCTGGTGCGGGCGGGTAGCGGCGCCGCGGAGGAGGAGATGGTGGCGCTGCTACAGGTGGCCATGGCGTGCGTGTCCACCGCGCCCGACGCGCGGCCCGGCGCCCACGACGTCGTCAGGATGGTCGAGGAGGTAATCGGCGGCGGGCGCACGACCACGGAGGAGAGCGAGGGGACCAGGGGCGCCTCGGAGGAGGAGCGGTCCAGAGGCCCGACGCCGTGACGCTGGCACGCCGCCGACGGTGCAACGCGACGCACACACGTACATGGCAAAATTGTCTCCTTTAATTTACTCAGAATTTTAGCATCACCTCCATTGTCTAGTACAGTATCTAACTCGGCCTGGCAGCGCCTCAGTCTCAGGCATCCATTGTTAATTTGTTATGTCAATCAAATAATATGTATTTCTCACTCCAATTGCATTGTTCCTCCAACAAAACGCAGATTTTCACCCCCATTTGAAAGAAAAGCTCGCCTTTCCATCCAATCTGTCATGGCAACACTGGGCACGGCATGGGGTGTTGTCTTCAACCCAGTGCATGACTGTCATTTGGATGCTCTTCGAAAGAGTGTCCGCGGTGGGCGCGAATAGATAGGGTGACATTGCATCACCCTGCCGTAACCTGTGCTCACGAGTGATCCAGGGCTCCGGGCAACCGTTCACCAGGACAACTGTAACACCCTAAATCATTTACTAAACATGTCATGAGTATCATGTTTATATGTTAGTACATGTGATAAAATATGTAGATCAATTTCTTGTAACATAAAATGACTAATAAAAATGTTAAACGAAAGTGGATTCAATAGTTCACGTATATCAAGTAGGGTCTCAAACTATTTTTTATTGAACAAAAATGCTATAGAACATATATGTGGCGCTTAAATAAAGTTTGGGATTTGAACTTTGTAGATGACAGTGAAATACTTGCTGTTGAAAAATTATATTGCTAACTAATATTTCTACTCGTCTAGAAATTGCAAATTGAAATCAAGTTCAGCTCGAACACTTAGAAAATTTCCAAGTTTGTAAACAACTAGACATTGCTATGTTTAGCAAATTATTTTGAGAGATTGGGTTAAGGGGTGACGAAGTGTTATAGCTCGATTTGCTAGTCTCATATGCCATCTTGAGTATGGTGAAGATGGTTAAGGTCCTGAAGCAACCGTTTAGTTTTTATAGACGCTTTAAAATTCGTGCGCGACTCGGTCTCGGGCTGGTTGGCCGCGTGGGCGCGGTCACCACGCTTGGACGCTCGGCGTTGCCGCGCTGGTATCGCGTGCGTGCGCTGCCGCGCGTGGCCGGCCGTGTTTGCCTCTGGCCTGGCCGTGGCCCGGCTGCCGCTGGCTTCGCCGCGTAGAGCTGCTGCCGCTCACCCCGCGCCACGACGAAGCCACTGCCGGTGCTATCACCTCGCCGTCGCGTTCAAGCACTGCTGCCTCGCCGCACTGCCGACCCGCCTCATACCGCGATGTTGCCGCTGCCGTCGCATCGTCGTCGCGTCCGCGCCTGTCCGCTGTACCCTCTGCGCCGCTGCCGGCCCAGTTCGAGGCCACATCTGCCGCGCGCACGTGGCCAGGCTCGCCGTTGCCTTGTCATTGATGGCACTGCGGCGCGCGGGCCACGCTGTGTCGCAAACACGCGCACCTGTCTGCTAGCGCGGCCTCCCCGTTCACGTCGACCGCATTCCGCCAAGGCGAGGACGAGCCAAGCCCACCTGCCGCACCTCGTCTCTCTCTTTCTCTCTTTCTCCCTCTGTTACCGCCGTCAAGCCACGCCATCCAATTTACCCAGCGAACGATCACCTCCATTCAATTCAGTGCGTCCACGGTTTCAACATCACGTCCTCTCGCTGCCCGACCCTACCTAGTCTTGAACCGTGCAAGGCCAAGCTCCAATTTGGAGTTTCTCGCGCCGCCGTGCCGATAAGGCCGCGTCCGGCCGTGGATGTGGTCAGCCCTCCTACCGTCCCTTTCGAGCCATTTCACTTGCACCACTAGCTTCGCCTCGCCTCCCTCTCCACCTTGCGCACGTCAGCGAAACCGCTACCGCCTCCCCGTCGTCGCTGACGCGACCGTGCCGCCGCGGTGCGCCGCCGCATAGCTCTGCCGCACGTGGCCAGCCTTCCTCTGTCATCCTCCGCCCCAACCGTCACCTTGGCCTGGTCTAGGGTAGTCTCCTGTTGCTCACGCGTTAACCAATTAGGCCTGTAGCTACCCCAGCTCATTGGAACAGTGGCACCACCGTCGCGGATGGCCGCGCGTCGCTGCAGCCTTCCCCTACGGGTTCCGTCACCCCGCACCGCCACTTAGCGTAGCCACCAAGAGCGGAGATAGTGATCGACCCGTTAGGTGGGCCCGCGCAGGTCCTAGGTGGCCGGCGTAGGCGCTCAGTGTCGCCACTCGCCGCGCCGCCATGCACTGAGTTGCCGGGGGTGTGCGCGGGTGAATTAGGGAAAGGCCAGGGGTTAAGCAAGAAGTTCTGAGAGAGAAGAAAATAGTGTTAGTACTTAGTTGTAATTCGGTAGAAGTTTGAGGTCTCTTTTGCAAAATCGCCAGCGCGCGCGAGATTCCCCAGCCGTGGGTCGTCTCGCGCTGCAGGCTGGCCTCGCGTGGGCCGCACCGCGGGCCACCGCACACTCGCGGGCCGCATCGCTTGGGCCACGCGTGTGGGCCGCGCGGGAGAATTTATTTTTCTTTTTCATAAGGAATTAGAAATAGTTTTCTAATTTAATTTTTGAGTTGATCTTTGGTAAATCATATAAAATCATGTAGGTGTCCTAAAATTATGAAACAAATTTTGTTAGGTTCCTAAAATTATGCTCTATCTGTTAGTGTATTTAGTTCATATATATACATGTTGATACCAGGAGCTATTAAATCATTTGAGAGTGCTCAATATTATTAAGTTAATTATTGTAGGAATTTTTATGGTAAATTGGTGATAGCTTTAGTCCTAAAAATTTTATAGTAGCTTCATGGTATTATTATGTGCTCACTATAATTTTTGTAGCTTTAGAATAGACTAAACGTTAGGGTAGTTAAATGCTCTTTGTTTCAAATATACATTAAATCATTAGTAAAAATAAAGATATATCCTTTATTTGTAAAGCTAGGTGTTTGTTAGTTGATCCCAACATTTTGCTTGGTAAAGATAGTAGTTAGCTTAGTACCTTAGTCATTAGAGCTAGCTCAGTAGCTTAGTATGCGTATTTTAGTTTAGGAGTTGCTGTTGCTTAAATGCTAAGTGTTGCATCATCATCGCATGCATGTAGAGAACGAGTTGGTGGAGATCGTGACCACCGGAGATCATGAGTTTGAGGAGATCGCCGAGGAGTACGAGGAGGAGATTCTCGTGCAGGAGGAGGTCCTAGAGCCGCCATTGTCTGACTCAGCTGACACCGCGCCTGCCCAAGGCAAACCCGGTGTACATAACCCTTATTTTCAATAATCACTAAATATGTATATGTGATGTGCATTTATGTTACAGGAATTTTATGAAAACCACATGCATAGATATAACTGTCCTATGAGTTCTACTAGTATAGGTTCGAGTAGCTGCTATGCTTAGGTTTTCTGTAGCGTGAGTAACGTGCCGTTACTCACAATAGGTGATTATTATAATTACTCTCATGATAAAATGATGAAAGAAAAAATGGAGATAGGGCAGGGATATGGTATGGATATTGGTGGGTGTAACAGGTTGTGTCCCGCGGCCAACGGGGCTTAGCTTGGTTACACTGTTTTCCCTATTCATGTCGATTAAGGACCGTCCGTTATTGTGGATGGTAGTCAGGTCACAGACTTATTATTATCCTGAGCACATACTTGCTTATGGGAGCAAAAAGGCTCGTTACGCTCTTGTCGTGGGTTCCGATTCTTTCTGGACTGACTGATTGGAGGCGGGGAAAGATGGAGGTCTAAGCACCATACTAAGACCGGGTCTCAAGTGTGGGGGTTTGGAGTCCAAGTTTGGACGGGGACCTGGACCCCGTGATAGGAGTGAAATGGGTTGGTCTGGTTTGTGCCTGGGGTACAAATGGACGTGTGTTTCGGGGTACCCGGCTAGGATACATTAGTTCATGAATCGCCATTTCCGTGAGACGGTATGACTTGGCTATGGTCTAGCACCGCAGTAAGAAGTGGAGGATGAAAAATGGTGAAATGGTTCTGATTGTTCAACCCTTGCTTGAAAGTAGAACATGTGCTTACCTAGAATGGTTAGCTAATGAAGTAATCATGACTGCTAATAAAACTTGACTGTAAGGATGAACTATTAGTAATGCTTTTCGTAAACAAAAGAAAACAGTAAACCCATATTGCCTATCATATCCTTGAGAGTCAGGAAAATATTCACATTAGTGAGGTAAGTCTTGTGAGTACATTCTGTACTCAGGGTTTATTTTACCCCTGTTGCAGGAGCAGCTTGAGGAGTAACTCTTGTGTGGAGGATTCTTCTGGTGGGCATAGACAGATCCTTGTATCGTTTCCGCTAGATATTTATTTTCATTCCGCTGTTTAATTATCGCACTCTGAACTCTAGTATTGTAATAAATAATTTCTAAAAACTCTTGTTTTATGAAATGGACTAAGTATAGTAAACTCGTACTCATTATCGGATTCTGGATGTAAACGTGGATTGTTTTGAGTTCTTTCTTGGGGTGGGCTCGATGAAACTGTCCGATGTAGATAACTTTCGGGGTGCTTAGTGTCTAGTGGAAGACGAATGCCTCCGAAAGCGTGTTAATTCGGGCGGTTCTACCACAAAATAGACTTTGAGGAGGCGAGGATTCGATGAATTTGTCTCTTGGCGTTTATTTATCAAAGAATTAGCTTCGCCCTGTTTCCATAATAATAAAGAATGATTTCCCCAAATTGGCATGTAAAGCACTGCCTCATGTTTCTTTTCTAGAGAAGACGTAGCAATTCCGTAGGTTCACAAAGTAACAATGTAGAAAAAAACAAAGTTAAAATAATGATAACAAAAAACAACTCCCCAACCTATAGCAACCCCGCCTGCCTAGAGCACAAAACACACATTGCATCATTTCTGAGCCACCGCCATTTTTTCTGAGAACATGTCCGTTGACACATATTTCATTAAGAGAAGAAACAGTACAAGGTGCTAGACACCAATCATCTAGACGGGAGGAGCAGTGGAATAGGGTGTCACGCTGAAGATGGCTCAACCACTAGGAACACAACTATCTCGGAAACACGCTA